GCAACTTAAATCACGCTGCATTTCTGCCTCGCCTGCAGACGGGCTGGCACAGCGCGTACTCCCCACTCGCGTGTGGCCCCTTCTGCTCTGCTGCTCCCACGCCGCCTCACCCCTTCGCTCCCAGCACCGGCAACCGCGACCGGGCAAACCTGGGTGCACGTTACGCTTGCAAAAGCTGCAGGGAAAACCAACGCATGCCAAGGAAAACTGACTTCTATACCTTTTTTCTTTTCTTTTTGGGGGAAAGAAGGAAGAATGGACACAATTTTACCAAAGACAGTAGTTGTTACGCATTGACTGCAAGACTATTAACATCGCATCAGGTTTGCAGTGCTGCCTTTGTTTTATGTTTTGAAGAAGCAAGGTAAAAAGCTGCACAACAGTAAAATGTAAAGTAACCTCAGGTATCTTAAGCAAAAGAGTCCCACCATGAAAGATACAAATTCAAAGCCTCCACTTTTAAACAAAAGTTTGACAAAGTTTTACTTTGGAAATAGAACCAGGATGGATTATTAGAAAATCAGCAATTTTACAGCAACTTACATAAGCATCGCTACAATAAGAGAATATACACATACTCAGTAAATTCTATACTGGTTATTTACATTCAAGTTGAAATATCAGAAAAAACACACATAGGAATTACTAACTTTTTTATTTCCCTGTGTGAATTAATTGGACCAGTGATGCTGCCTTCCTCGTTCAGTAGCAGACACTTTCAGAGGCAAGACAGGGAAGAACCACCGCCTTGGGGTACAGTTGGGGGACAGGCACCATTCCCTCTATGGCAGCTGCTGTAAGCACGACAGCATACAACAAAACACAAAAATGCCTCCGTTTTTAAAAGACCCAAATGAAGCTAAGAGCTTGATAAATTCCCCTGACAGCACCTGTAATTTTTCTCTCTGTCAATATCAAGCCCCAGTCCTTTCTCAAGTACTTAACGCTCTTTTTTGTTTGCTAGTGGACCCACAAGATAATTATGGAAAGCAACTTCCATAAATGTGCTGATTTTCACTGGCAATAGGACGCCGTAAGACCAGCCAGATTTCGCTGGTGCTCCCTGGCTTTTCAGGTCCAGAGCTATTGCTCCGTCAGGAGGACCCAAACCCAAAGCTCCAGCTCATCCACCAGGTACTTCTGGCACACGGGCTGAGAAAACCGTACGACAATGCTAATGGACCCTGTGAAGTCTACTAATGGGACAGAGCTGCTTTTCTGTCGAGGTTCAGGTAATCCAAACACAATCCAGTCAACTGTAAATATTTGAAGTGGATGGTAAATCTCACAGCGATAAATTAATCTCGTATTTGGTTAAGAAATTCTATTGCTTTAAACAAATAATGATTCAACTGATCTCAAAGTACTTGTCAAATACGTTTTTAATATAATAAAGGGAAACAAATCAGCTATATTGGAAGCTATACTGAAGGAAACATGGCTTCATCCACCCCGGAGAGTGGGCACCAAGGAACAGACACTTAATGACAAGCAGAACAGGTCAGTTCGTTCGGAAACCTCCAGCAAGTGCCACCACTTGTCTGGGAAACATCTCCTTTTCCAGTCACCCGGTCCTTGCGCTTCTGTGATCCCACGCACAGACATTCAATAAATAAGGGTAATGCTCAGGATGACAACTAACGATGACCACAAACGAGAAGGGCTGGGGGAACGGCTGCAGTACCCATGCAGACAGCTCGGTACGGCACGGGAGGCACCGGGGGGCACCAAAACCAGGGCGATGGGTGTCAGGGTGCCCGGGGGCTGAGGCCAAGGGGTGCAATGATCCCCAGTCCCAGGCAAGCTCCCCCAGCAGAGCCCTGGGCAGGTACTGGTTGGGCAGCAGCTTGGCAAACCGCCGTGGCTTGGTGCCTAGCTGTGAAACAAGTTCATCTGGTGGACTTCTGTCCTGGGACATGGAGCTACGGAGACCTGAAATCCCATGGGCAACATAGAGGTCCCACTTTGTTGTCCTTTGGAGAGGTGGCCAGGAGAAGTCACTGGGATGGATAACTCAGTGCACAGCGTTTTGTTGAACCCCAAACGGTTCCACAGAGGTGCCTTGAGCCATATGTGAGGAGACGTATGTCTCAGTCTCCATAACTTGAGAGTTATAAAGAATAAAAATTTAAATTCACTTTACACCGAAAATACCTACTGTTTCAATTTTTACTGCTTGTTTTCTTAAATTCCCCTCTCCTGTTTCACCTGAAATTGTGATATTTTGTGCTGGATCAATTCCTGAACCACAGGAATGGGACACCAAAGGGACACAGACACAGAAGCAATCGCTTCATCTTGCTTAGATTATAACTTCACCATACTCCTTTGCACTTGGATTAATTACAGAGCTGCAACCCTGCAAGCGGGCAGACCTGTCTGAAGTAGGAAATGGCATGTCTGGAGTCTGGCATGGGAAATCAGCCCTCGTGGGAATACAGGAGTTTGCTGATCAGCAAGGGAGCTGGCCAGGTGCCCCACTCAACTACCTGGTGCTGGCTGAAGCCTCTGCAACAAATTACAGGAGACATCAGAGAACAAGCTCTCTAGCTCCGAGATGGGGAAAAGCTTCACCCAGCTTCATGTGGCCACGAGGAACCATACCTTGGTACGTGTGCTATAATCCCCACCAACAATGAGATGTCTCTGGTTTTACGAGTCTGCAGGAAGCAGTCATGGCACTTCAATCTAGGCTGATTTTATTTTAATGCTTTCATACCTGCAGTGAATAGAAAGCATGTTCGAGAGAGAAGAAAAATCCTTGTCAAGAGAGAAGACAAACCCTTGAAATCCTGCACCTGTGAGCCACATCCCACTGCCAGCAGCTTCACTCTCTCAACAGCGAAGATGACAGGAGACCACCTCCACTAACCAGCTGAAAAGAGCCGTAACGGGAATGTATCTGAAACCATTAAATCTATCGCTGCGTGAAAGCTGCTTCTGCAGTTTAAAAGGTCGCCAAGTACTTCCCGAAACTGCTGATTGCTAATGGCTGTTGAAAACTGCTGTTTCACAACCCATTCCTTAAGGAATCAGTTTTAGATAAACAAACTCTCACTATACACCGCAGTACGAACTGGAGACAAATCCATCCAGCTGACCAGAAAATAGCAAATGTTACCTTCTACTTCAGCTAAAAATCTAAAGCTTATTTCCTCTATTCTCATACCTGATACGTACGCAGATCACAAAATCTGTAACAAACCCTTACTGACCTAAACCAACCCCATCGGGACGGTTCACTGCACACTTTCATCTGCGTGAGCAGAGGAGGTTCGTATTCCAGTGCCACGACAGCCGCACGGCGAAATGGAATACCTTGAACACGGAGAGTGGCCATTAATCTCAAACCATTACAAGTAATTTACTTTGCCATTTACCGAACATCCAAGAATTGCCCGAAAAATTCTTCCAAGCAGAGGAGTTACTGGGCTCCAGCCTTTGCCGGGTGATGGCAGGCACTCACCGATGTCCCCACCATCCCTGTGCAACACCACGGACCAACCAAAAAGCTTCACCCTGTCACACAGGCCAAGTATAAATAAAACAAGCAAACTGCACGTGAATGAATATATGCTTTTTAATAACTGGAAGAAAAAAAGGCTGACTGTAACCTAGGCTTCAAATTCACTTAGCTTATATCTCTGCCAAGCCTCATAAATTTCACTTGTTTTACTCTGTGCAGTCATTTTTCCCAGGATTTGCCTCACTGCACCTCTTCTCAGGAATTTGGACACAGACTGAAAACAAGAGAAGACTGTACTTACAGTCGGACTTCAAAAAAAAAAAAATAAAAATTGAAGAAATAATGGAAGTGCCTTATCACTTCCAACTGGCCCAGTGCTGGGCAGCCCAGAGAGGGAAGGCTGGAAAAAAGCCAAAAAACCTGAACTTCCCCATTAGATGGTTAGCAGATCCGTGTCTCGCAGAGTAAAGGTACATCCTATCTGCTATTCCAGCAGCAGACAGAAGCAGATGCTTAAAAAAAAAAAAAGAAAGAACAGAGGAAGCACAAAGTGGTATTTTCGATGCTGTAAACCTTCAGCTGTCAGCAACCAAAGCCGGGGCAGTTCCTGGGCCAGGATTTGTGCCCAGACTATTGCATTTGCACCATGGTAAGAAAGTGCTCCTTCACGTTCGTTTTAAACCTCCCTCACAGGGGACACACGGCAACTGAAAGGGAAAGA